TTTCATCACTCTGACTTAATTAGAACTAAAGTTATCGTGTCCCAATCAAACAATCAAATTGCTTATCTCTGCTTACCCTAAGCAGAAAATGCTCATCTTCAAACTCCATTAAGGCATTGACCTTATAAACACCTACACCAAGTTTGAACATTCTAGCTCAATCAGAAAGAGAGTTATTGTGTCCCAAAAAGTGTGACGGACAGACAGACGGACGGACGAACCCACTTTAATAGACCCCTGCTTTCTTCGAAAGGCGGGGGACAAAAAAGCGAATATATTCTTAATCACACACACACCGTTGAGAATATCTAGTGACAACTGCACTTACGACATCCCATTTATACGATTTCCGGTCTCAAATCCATGGTTTCAACAACCGAAATTCTGACAATTGAACTTTCGGAAAATGTTGTTTAAATAAAAATATACTGACATTTTATATTATTACGTATTAAGTAGTATTTTCGATTCGTATTGTCAACTGTAATTAAAGTTTTCACGGGCAATGGTGTTAATCGATATGTCCCTTCAAATCTGAACATGTCTTGAATATGCCGTGCTATGGTAGAGTTTTAGCCACACCCAATAGTCCGGTGGCTGAAGTTTTTCTAGGCCAGATTTTTTGCGTAGATTCCGAATCTGGGTGGTGATCAGGCGTTTCGAGATATAGGGGGTCAAATGTCTACAATGGGGGAGGGGGGGGGGGGTGATGTCATTATGTTGACATAATATAATAATAAAACAAATTTCTTGGACTGCCCATCTATTAATAAGTAATTATGATGCCCCTGGACAACTGTTTTGATTTATGGGGAGGTTGGGTGGGGGTAGCAGGTTTGCGCGTATGGAGGGGTTGGGTGGGGATAAAACTGGCGGGAAAATGAGTTCACGTTGATTTTCTAAGAGCTTGATGAAACATCTCTAAATATGTTTATAAGATTCCTATTGTATGGAGGTGGAGGCCGGGGTGAGTGCCCGCCGTGGGGGTGGGGGGCGGTGCGGGTGATGGCGGGTGGCAACATGTATTTTTGTGGACAGAAATCATTTCGTCCATAATTGAGCTTAAAGCGGTATCTCGTTAGCGTTTTCATTCAAAATATTAAATTATAATGGTACTTTTCAAGAGATCTGGAAATGTAAATCAAAAACACATTAACTCAGAGATATGTTTAGTTGTTAGTTTATTGTTTGTCTTCATCCGAAGATTCAAAATCAAAAGTTCATATGAGAGAGATAAGTATTTTCTTGGTTGCTGGCCAACAGCTCGCATATGCTTCAGAAACCAATTTACATTGTAAATCTTCATTCCAGGCATGCAGCAAAAGACCGCGTATACGGCAAGATGGTAATAAAGACAGGTCTGTTAATTTTTTCACCCAGAAAATCTTTTTTCTAGCGTCATCTAGTGATGTAAGTCGTCTTTCGCGATATTTTCTACCTTTGCCCTTCTCATTATCGATCAAAATTTGTATGATTGGGATGTCTATTACCCCCGAGCAGGAACGCAGAATACAATTTGTTTCAGCACCTCCATTAATTTGCAATGCGAAGAGGAGTAGGTAAGATATTTTGGTGTCCTCGTGGTTGGTTGTCAGTTCTAGGATATTCTCGACACTTTTAATACTAATCTTGATATTTTTTGATCCAATCAAGATTAGTATTGAAAGTGTCGAGAATATCTTGGCCTACGGTACATGCTTTCAGTGGTAATGACTATCTGTCTTTCTTTTTCAAGATAATCCCAACTTTCTAACAATTTTTAAAGAGCTGGGATAGATAAATGATGCTTCTGATGACGTAATTGCTGGTTTAGAAAAAAATGTTTGTACCTTGATCTTAATTTTAATTGTGATAAAAAAAAAAAAAACTTTCTTTCTTTATTACCATCTTGCCCGAGTAGTCTTTTGCTGCACATTAAACGCAATAATTATGTTGCAGCAATATGGAGACAAGTTGCAAAATTAATGATCGAACAAGATGACTCTGCGATACAAGGCCGGAATGAAGATTTACAATGTGAATGGGTATCTGAAGCATATCCAAAGGATATACGCGGGCTGTTGATCAGCCACCAAGAAGATATCTATCCCGCACATATTATAAGAATAAACTAATATGTTTTTTATGTACATTTCCAGATCCCTCGAAAAGTACCATTATAATTTAATATTTTGAATGACGATATTAGCACTGAACGAAAACTCGAGAAAACACTTTTCAGGTTAATTTTTAATCAAGTGGTTTCTGTCCCCCAAAATACATTTACCCTCCCCCATACAATGGTAATCGTATACACATATTTAGAGATGTGCAGTGGAATCCAAAAGTAATGTTTTTACCAAGCTCTAAGAAAATCATCAACGTGAACTCACTTCCCGCCAATTGTACCCCCCACCCCCATCCATACACGCACACCTGCTACCCCCACCCCACCTCCCCACAAATCAAAATAATTGTCCAGGGGCATCATAAACACTTATTTATAGATGGGCAGTCCTAGAAATTTATGCTTTATTAATATATTATGTCAACATAATGACACCCCCAACCCCCCCCCCCCCACACACACACACACACATGCTATCCCCACCCCACCTCCCCACAATTCAAAACAGTTGACCAGGGGCATCATAAACACTTTTTATAGATGGGCATTCTTAGAAATTTATGTTTTATTAATATATTACGTCAACATAATGACATCTCCCCCCCCCCCCCCATTGTAGACATTTGACCCCCTATATCTCGAAAACGCCCCCTCGAACGCCTGATCACCACCCAGATTCGGAATCTACGCAAAAAACTGGTCTAGAAAAACTTGGTCTCATAAATTCACAGCTCGGGTGGCGATCCCCCCCCCCCTTCAGCCACCGGACTACAACTACAATTGGCAGCCACGGTGGCTCATTGAGCAAGACGTTGGCTCGCTAACACGGAGGTCCTGTGTTCGATCCCTGTATTGAACGAGAAAGTTCATCTGGATTTTCCGGCGTGGCTCCGGCGTGGTGCCATTCTACTTTGTGTGACATTTTTCGGGCATCGATTATCATTTGTCAATGCAGATGCAACAGTCTGATTGGATGATTGGAATTCTGGTCGCCATAGATTGGGATTTCGTTTGCAAAACGATTAGACAACTTTTAAGTTGCTTAACCCCCGGGTCAGAATAGCAGAAAACCTCATTTGCGGCGGTTAAATTTTCAAAATTTTATCTGAGAGGTCGAGGCCCCCGTACTCCGAGATTGGTTGTTGGGGATTCAGGTCAGCCGCCTAAGGTAGCATATATTGGACCACATTTAAGATGCTGTATTCATGGGCTCGGATAACAGAAAAACGAGTTTGCGGCAGTTAAATTTTCTCCAGACAGTCCCGTCTCCGTGGACTGTGAACCATTGATTGGTATTCGAGTCATCCACCTTAGTTAGGATGTATTAGATCACTTTGAAGTTGCTGTGGTGTCAAATTTCCCAAGTTTTCTTGGGAGAAGGGGGGCTCCTTCGACTCTCGCAGACGACCGGTGCTACCGTCTGTAACCCGAAATTTTCTCGGGCATTTCAGGTTCTGCCCGCCTAACATTCATTGAGCCCCTACGCCTATGATCGCAACGTTTTTAGTCGCATCCTGCCACAATATATATTTTAAGAAACCACTTAAAGATACATTAGTAAGAGCAATGTGCATGTCTTTATATAGGCTTCAGATTAATTAGACCATAACAAGCCCAAAATCAACTATGTGGGCAATTTCTAATTTACTGCCCTGGGGAAATTCAGATAAGACTTAATACTTACCTATAAGTAGGATAATCGTTAACAAAATATTCAATGCCATCACTACAATAAATATACGGGTATTCTGAAGTTGATACACTCAGTGATTCAATCTTATGTAACAATACATGTAGGTTTATATTCTTATACCCTGTGATATTCGGGGTCAATAAATCCAAGATAAACTATAAAGGGGACATTTTTATATTATATCATATTATACCTAAGTATAGTGGTTAACTACCAAAGATTGACATTTGTCTTATGGATACCAAGATATTACAAATATTGTACTATACGCAATAACCCAGACGGTCACATATTTGTGTTAAAGGGCATTTGGCTCTAGTATTTGGAACCTTAAATTAGACGAAAGCGGGTCTAAAACTAAAAGTACCATTTAATGTAATATGGATGTGTATATTATAGTGATCTATATTCAGTTTTTAGTTCTTTAATTGTAATTTCTAATCAATTATGTTCGATGAAATACCTAAACAGTCCAAATTGAACGACAGTTGTTTACGCTGGCTTAGAGACGCGTTTTTCGTTATTATTTTGTCGTTTGTAAACTAACCATTACTAATTACTTCTACACTGTTTTTGTCTGTTCATAATATATGGCGTCCGAAACCACAGAATACACAACTCGTGTACTTATTTTAAAAGGTTCATTATGTCTTAAATATTGGACATTAGGATACCATATTTTCACGGCAAAACAATAACATTGATTGAAATGGACTAATATTGAATTTTAATTCGTGTTTATATTTTCGAATTTCATGGAGTTAGAGATTTAGCTCATTTAAGATAAATTGATTATTAATCGCAATATACGGTATATATGTTTCATAACTTGGGGTTTGTTACTAGGGATATGGGTCGTTTTTTTAATATCCAAACGAATCAATAACACTAAGGCAATCTCGTTTTATAATTTGGTTCATAAAATCATTAAAAATTAAACTCCGGTTGTTATATAGTACGTTCCCCAGGAAACGGAATAGGTATTAACCGATATTGGATCGGGGAACAGGCTATGTTATGTCCCACCCCTCTTTGGGTTCCATTGTACAAAGAACTGATTCAAACCGGTTATTAATATTATTTAGTTAAAATATGTGACTAAATCCACGAGGATATTTTTATAATAATACACGAAGTTTTATCTGAAGGAGTGCTGAGAATATGTCACGTCGACAGATGACCCATTTTATTATCACTTGACGAAAACTCCAGATAAACAATTTTTTAAGTGAGTGGTTGGTATTCCAGTTTAGAAAATATCATGGCAATGTTACTGATTTTAACAGTTTTGGTGACTATTGGTGCCGGAGTGAATGGTAAGTTTGTGGTGGTGGTGGAGTTTTTATAAACAGGGCACAGCGTTCCTTAATGAACAGGAGTTTAAAATGGAAAGGAAGTACATCTTCCATTGGTCATATGCTTGCGTACCTCTCGACCTGAAAGTCCTGAAATAGTTTCATGTTTTTAGGCTACTATGAAACGAATACCTGAATGGCTGCAATGTTTCGTAGCAGTGTCCTGTAAAATTTAGTAAAGACTTAATAATATCTTTTAGCTGCTTCTGGTATTGAATGTACTGGGGGAGCACACAGGTATCCAGCAAGAGGAACGGGCTACTATCCGGATAACTCCGCTTTAGAAGGTGGGTTTGTTGATATGAGAGGAGCTAAGCTTAGAACACTACAAGTAAGCTTTTTTTTGCTTCTATATTCCTTATTAATTGGGGGATAAATTGCTTATAATGTACTGTCTTTCAAATGAAAATACGATGACAAAACCTTTCGTTGTGTAGACTAATTCAACTCTTAAGCTCCCTAGTGAATTTCTTCTATACAACAAAGATGTGCCGAAACACAATTGTCTCAATAAAGAACGAGCGGCCACTTTGGGAACCACGACTATTTTCGGAACGTCAAAGAAAGGGTTTAACGTCCACTAGAGACAAACTAGGTCATTTCGGGACATATGGTTCAATTTTATTTCATCAATTCGCTTGCGTGTAGGGGCTTTAGCAGTGGGAGGAAACCGGAGGACCCGGAGAAAACTCACTAGGTTGACTCAATGACAAACCTTATGATGCAACGCGTTAACCATTCGGACACCCAACCGCCCTTATTTGAATATAAGGAAACTTGAATATTGTTACGAGAACAGGGTTCTTGTCGACATTGCCCACTCTTTCGTAGCTTGCAGGGCTGTTACAGATAACATGCAACCAGATAATTATGACACAAAGCACAACAACAGTTATTAGAGTCTCCCATCACGTTCTAACTATACAAGAGACTTGAGAATCTAGACTAACAAGGAAGGTCACTACAATAATAGACTTAGGTCATCAGACCAATATATTCATACCGTGTTAGTATTTTTAGCGAACCATAACAATAATGCAAACCAGAACCAAACTAGGCAAGGCGTGTCGCTACATCACCGCCGCCTCAGAATTATGAGTTACATTCGAATGACGAAGCTGTAAAACAGTCGTTCGTTTCAAACCTTGGAAATAGCGTTCATGTTTATCAAGCATATTGTGCAAATCACAGGTCTAACAATATCTCACATGGTGTGATAAGTATCGATACAAAATAATGTATGAAGTAGAAACAATGAAAGTGATAACATTTACAATAATTTCAGGATTCAGGGGGTTAATATTAACATATCAGAATTATAAAGAGTTAAAACTTAAATCAACCATTAACATTTTTACAGTTATATTATAACACATTGTGACTTACTATAAACCAGTGGAATAATGGGTTACATTATCAAGGAATCATACAGTACACAAGTTATACCATCATCCCTTTACGTGGAAATCTCATAACAATACTACATGTTCATTCTATTTTTCACAACTTTTACAGTGTGCTATGTTAAATGTTATTTTCACAACTAATTTAACATTGTAAACACTATCAGATTAACAAGTAGAGCTTATTGGGAACTTTATAATTGCTTATGCTTTTGTAAATTTATTATCAAATTATCAAATATCATAAATAAAGCCTGTGAATTACTCAACTTGAACCATCATAAATAGCACATTTAACATCAAAAGCATTCTTCAAATAACATAGGCCCCACTAAAACACCATTTACAACTTATTTTAAACTGCCAGTAAAAGACATTATATTAGGAATATGAAACAATTTTTACCTATCTTCTTTTCAAGTTATGTATCACATCATGGGTTTCTGTTACAAGCTTTTGGCACTTATCAATTAAATCAGAAAACTTAACCCAGGAGTTAGCTCATGAGTCATAATCAAGCCATTTAACTCTATATCCCCAAGACTTATTGCAAAATCTTTTCTTAAGAATTTTTTCTATCAAAAGTCGTGATCATTTTGAGACAAATTAGGATCATTATCAGTAGGGGCAAAATCAGGTTCGGGTAAAAGATTATCATCAACCTCTCCGGAAGATAATCAATATTACTTGGTGGTGTAGGGTCGTCTGGTTCGTCATTTCGTAAATGACTATGGGGATGCTCAATTGTCACTCCGGAACGTCCCGAATTGACAGAATCGCAATCAAGTGATACATTGGACTACCATTACAAGAACATTAATTCACTTTTATTTGGAAATGACAGTCTTTCTAAAAATAGAAATATCTGTTTACTCTCAGTCGTTCACAAATATATTACTTTGACTAAACGCTTCAATTCTCCGAAATAAAAATTTTAATCGATCATTCTCTACGAGCCACTTTTTAATTACCCTTCAAATTTTATATTGTGAACAACGTTTACTCACTGTCTGAGTACATACAAACTTCCCTGACCTAGCCTCTGTAACCCAGTCAAATGTGAGATATGTGTATACCAGTACCATTAAACTATAGTAGGTTGGTGCGTTTTTTTTTTTGGCATCGCGTCCTCAACTTTATTATCCAAATCTGTACTCGGGCACCCGTTCCTTTTCCGATTTTCTCTCTTTTCCTTTGACTATTTTTCTTTTTATTTATATACCTCTGTCATCTCATTGTTAACTAAAACCCTAATATTGATAATCATTCCCATTGTATTACATTACCAGCTGATCATTAAATTTATATTCGTGTCACTCCATTCTGGAAGCAGTTTTATATAAGCATTAAGTTGCTTGTTACTGTATCCAACTTATTCATATTATTCCCTCTATGATTGTATATAAGAATTCTGAATAAATACTTTTTTAAATCAAGTGATACGGAATCAAGTCCTGTCACAGTTCTGCCAGTCCCGACAGCTGAGGTGGTGTGAGAAGAATCGTGACGTATTTTAAATAGCAAATTATGTTTCACTCACTTTCAGCTGCCATGATTGGTTGAGATATTTTTATGCAGTCGGCACACGCGTTGTACTCCGAAATTCTCCTTTTCACTCGATTGACACTATTTTTGGGATTTAGAGAATTCAATCTGGAACGTTCAATCGACCATCCCCTATGTTTAAGACGATTGGTATTTATTCTATTCGTAACTAAGTGTCCGTCACTTTTGCGGCGCAAAATGTCTTTAGTCTAAATATATGTCATCATAAGAATAAACGTCCACATGTCTAAAGTCTTAATATACGTCGTCATTAACAGAATATCATTGAGCCCTTGAATAGCTACAACGCGAGTAGTCACAACAGCTTCTGGAGAATACAGTCGACGTATCGGCGAACTACAAACTCTTTGTGTTACCTGCGTGGTGCTTAATATGACAGAGCCAGCCATTAGTAACGTCAATACTACAGGAATGGGCTCTCCATTGCCAAATGACACCCCATTTCCAAACGCAGACTCTGATTCACAAGAAGAGAGCTCGTCAAAGCTCAGTGCTGCTCGCTAACACAGAAAACAGTAACGTGGAAGTATACACGTTCTATTACACGGATTCAAACCTACCTCAGAAAAGGTGAAGGGGACGCCAGAAAATTAGAGAGAGAGAGCTCAAAGAAATTAGAAAAGACTATGAAAAATGTTCTTTTGCTAATGGTGAAATTATAGAATATTGTGATGAATCCGAGAAAGGAATATTAGTACAGTGGGGGGTAGACCTCACGAATGACTTTTATGCTATTGAAGATCTGCTCTCAGAATACATAAAAACTTTGTCAAGAAGTGATCAGTCAGTTCAGAGTGTGCATTCCGTCCCAAATACGCTTGCATCACAGTCAGTTCAACACACAAACACAATACAGTCAGCCGAACATATGTCAATATTGCAGCCAGATGAACATACGTCAACATTAGAGTCTAGTCAACAGGATACACTGACGTTGGGATCGTCCGGAAGTATGTACGCGACTGCTTTAAAGACTTTGAAAGTTAATTTTGGTTCACCTAGTCGAATAGCCAGAGCATACGTAACCAAGCTCACCAATGGTCCAAAGATAACTGAGAAAAATGCTCTAAAAGAATTTTCAATAGATGTAATAAATGCTATCGCTAGTCTAACTCAGCTGAATTATTTTTCTGATATCAATGCCAGGGACAATCTTAGGAAAATTGTTGAACGAATACCAAACTACATGAGGTGAAACCCCGTCAGTCACGCACATAGACACATTTCTCAGATCCAAAGTTAGAGCCGAATTCGATCCTGATTTTGGTGATGTCAAGAAAACTTATGCCGCAACAAGCCTATCTACTTACCTTATAAGTGATCTGTCAATGCAGTACCCAGTCATGCTCAAAATTGTCAAAGATCGTCATTCAAGAATTGTTCTTTTTGTCAAAAGAAAAAGTATCTGTCACAGTGTGAAAGGTTCAGAAATTTAGACAATAAAGCCAAATTCACTCATGTCACGTAAGAACACTTATTTTTCTCTTGTCTTTCTAGAGGACACAATATCTTTAAGTGCCGAAACAAACAACGGTTTAATGAAAATGGTTGTCAACGATACCATCACAAACTCTTACACTCCGATACGCCAGTCAGCAATGTGTTACGACAAACGCGCAATGTTGCCAGTCGTCCGAATCCGGTTTAAAGCGCCTAAGGAAAGAACTTTGAATGGCAATGCATGAATAGACAGCTGTGCCGGTACAACCGTCATAAGAAAAGCCTTCGCCAAAGCCTTGGGTCTCCAAGGTAAGATCGAATCTACTGACATTTCTGTCGTTGGGGGAGACAACTCTCACAGAAGTATATTCGTCTGGTAAACTTTAAAGTATTTGCACTAAATGGTGTTGAGGAATTCAACATTCAAGCACACGAGATTGATTACACCATAATGGATGTCCCAGTACTTGATAAACAATTATTTAACAGACATAAACTTCAGTCGGGAAGAAGGTCCCGTTGATCTCATCCTTGGAGTACAGTATACACACCTTCATGCGGATTCAGAATAACGCGAAGGACTACCGTACGAACCATGAGCCAAACATTCTCTACTAGGATGGTATGTCATCGGTTCGGATAAAAAACAATGTTCAGTCTAGAACTAAGTCTAGAAGAAGACAGTCAACCGATTAAGCCTGTTTACTATTTGCCTCACTTTGGAGTCTGCCGTCCGGATAAAACCAGTACACCTCTTCGAATTGTGTTCGACCCAGCTTGTCAGTCCCAGGGTACGTCTTTGAACCAGTTCTTACTGAAAGGTCCATGTCTCTCATTGGTAATCTCTTTGAAGTCATTATTCGGTTCAGAGAAGAACCAGTAGCCATAGTCGGAGATACCAGAGATCCAGATATCTAGGGTCACATTTGGGGATAAGTTGACGCCTGATATGGCCTCTCACGTCATGAACAAGATTGTCATGAACCATCAAAACGAGTCCAAATACGAAAATCCAGGTATCATTTTATATATTAGTGAAAAGCACGTTCATTTCTGTTTGTAAATATGTAAATAGTTTTCTGGTACAATTGTATTTTCATAATTCAAATCGAATAAATGTCACACTATTAAAGGGGTATTCAAGTAAAAATACTGGTCTAAATACGAAATTCCAGATACAATGTTACGTATCACTGATTGCTTTTTTCAAATATGCAAATAATTTTCTGGCACATTCATATTTGTTTAACTCTACAAAATAAGATTGTTATTGACATATTTGACTGGACAGGCCATTCTGACTGTGGACATTTAAGAAATTCTGGACCGGACATCTATCTCTCTGTCATTCTGTCAATCGTGAGACCACGACTAAGATCATCAGCAGGATTAAGATCTGTGGGCAATTCCCACATTGACTGGATTTATGTGACTAGCCTCGCCAATAACCATTAACATGCGCATGGCTTCTAGCTTGTCATGTCGCCATGGTTGTCAACAATCTTTAAGTCAGTCTTTAAATGTCAAAATGTTAATTAATATTAATTGGCTAGCTTTAGGCATTGCAAGGGCGAGATAGATCCACTCTCCAGAATGAACGATGAATGACATATGAATGATATATGATATATGGTATATATGATACAATATGAATTATATGATACAACATGAATGATATGATACAATATGAATGATTAGATTGACTATATGAATAAACGTCTGAAATGTCTGAAGTCTAAATATGTCATTCCGGGAAGAGACGATTAACACCATCAGCATTGCCATGGTTGATGCCTGGGTGATATAAAATGTCAAAGTTGGACGACTGAGAATCGCAATCCATCGTGCGTATTTACTAACAGGTGACCTCATCTCAAAGAGCCAGCGTAAGGCAGAGTGGTTCACAACAGCTGTAAACGTGCAAATATCTCAAATAACTTTCCAAATGTTTTACACAAAATACTAGAGGCAGACAGTCTTTTCAGTAATACCATATTGTTTTTCAGCACCATTTAAAGATCGTCCTACATATGAAATAACCCGTTCAGTTCCATTCTGGGTCTGACACAACATACCGCCGATAGCAAATGAACTAGCATCGGAAAACAGCTTAAAGGGTTCATTAGAAATAGGATACCCAACTATCGGCGCTGAAAGTAACAATTGTTTAACAGAGTCAAATGCATTTTTACACGATTCAGTCCACTCAAAGGTGTCGCAATCTCTGCGTAGTTACGAATAAAAAATTTACGATAATATCCAGGAAGGTCCGCAAATCCTTAAGACAGGTAGGTGTGGGATAAGAGGATACAGAATCAACTTTGGTAGGAACTGGTGCAATTCCTTCAGAGCTAACAATGTGACCCAAGTAATTTATTTTCGAATGAGCGAAGAAAAATTTCTTCGGGTGTAGTTTCAGGTTTGCTTCCTTCAAACGATCAAAAACTTCTTGTATATGCTGCAGATGATCTTGAAAAGTATTACTAAAAATAATTACATCGTCGAGGTAAACTAAGCAATGTTTCCATGACAATCCTCTCAAGGCAGCTACCATAATACGCTGAAATATAGCTGGACTATTCTTAAGGCCCATTGGTAATCTCTTAAACTGGTAGAGACCAAGATGGCAACGCCAAGCAGTGTATGATCGAGAAGCAGAATCTATGCTTACTTGGTAAAAGCCACTCCAATGTGGAAAAGAAGACTGGGTTTTCAGCACCGAGACTTTCTAAAGCATCTTGCCTGGTTGGTATGGCATGTGCATCTAACAGCGGGCAGTCATTGTGGCGTCGAAAGTCACATACGAAACGACAGGATTAATTATTACGTTTCGCAATCAAAAGACAGGAAGCCGCCTACGGACTTGTTGATTCTTCGATAATACGTTGATCAAGCATGTCATCTACCATACGTTCTAAAACATTCTTCTGTTTACGACCTAATTTGTATGCACGTTGCCGTATGGGACGATGACCCAGGGTAACTTCTATTTTGTGTCGCAAGATATCTCACTCGCCAAGTTTATTGTCCTGTCCAACAAACACTGATGAATAATCACTTAAAAATTTGAGTAGAGAGCACTTGATTGACTAGCAGACAAGTTACTAGATATTTGTTGTAAATTTATGGGGTTAATATTAATTTCTGACACAGTAGGGTTAACATTATTGATACACTGGTTAACATCTCGACTTAACATCCGCCGTCATCATTTACATTCTTGTTATTATGAATGAACTGAACATTTGAATCAGGAAGCTTACAAACAGTATCTCGTTTTGACAAACATACAAACTTCCCAATAATAGAACCTTCTGGTAAAATAAAATCATATTACTAAAATTACAAATATGCAGGTCAGAAAAGGAGTGACGTAGGAGCGAGTCTGACGTATTAGAGCAGGTTAGCCTATCCAGTCTATAGACTTGGGTCATTGTACCGAGAATATATTCATACCGCGTTAGTATTTAAAGGAGAGCGAACCATAACAATAAATGCAAACCCGAACCAAACTATGCAAGGCTACAATATTATTAGAATATAAGGAAATTTTCTGGTGACTCCGCGGATAATTGGCAAGTCTAGTTCAAATTTGAAATCACCTGAGAAACAATGTCTAATTGCAATTTTCATTGAAATGCAGTTTTACTCGCTTTGACATTATATTTACTCATAATTTTAGAAGAATATTTGACACATTAACTTATCCGAGATCAAATATAAAGTCAGATATCATTTAACGTGAAAAATCCCATTCACGAGCAAAACAAGAATGCTGGGACGGGTAGAGATAAGGAAGGGATTGGCGATAACATACGTCCACTTTACATTATTTCTGTACATGTCAACAATATCAGATGTTAGCAAGAATTGAAGGGCTTCAGGGAAGCGGCCCTGTAGATCTCTTAACTTATAAATAAAATACGATTATAAACTACTTTTTTTCTATTGTATTTGATTTAGGACTATTTACAAGGTAGTGCAAGCTATGTGAGTGTTGCCATGGATAATCGCGCTGGTATTCCATATGGAGCCCATGTTTGTATTCCAGAGCTAAACCGCAAATACAGTCGTCAAATCCCGTTCAAAGTAAGTTTATTTAACTGTATTATAAAGGTTTAAAGTCAGTTAGAATATTCCTTCTAGACAAAGGTATGTCCCTGTTTTCTTTACAAATCAAGTCAATTCACGATTTCTTGTGAACACTCTGCAAGTATGTCCTCTTTCGTCATAAAGAAGTTATCTCTCCGTTTGTTTTAAGACGTAGGGAGTCTCCTGGACACAACACCGTGGAGAGTTCTTTATGTTGGGTCTATTTTTTTCAAAATCAGTTGCATTGTTCATATCAAATTTTCGGATCATAAATTCAGAATGGGTCTTTCTAGTAATGTTTTGATTTTTTAAGGCTTTGTATAGCGGGATCTCTAATATTAGACTGTCTATGACGCATAGTAATTAAATGCAAAAACAATATACACAGATTGTTTTTCTGTGGTACAGGAAATATGCTCGAAACATTCTTATTAAAGTTACAACAGTTCAAACCAGTCCGAAAAAAATCAACAAGAGAGGGTTATCTATAAATATACAACTGGCGGTAGTTTTTACTTTGATGTCCATAGCAGTTATATCTCATAACAACCTGTCATGACATCATCATAGGTTGATATTACATTTCATATCAACCGCTAATGACGTCATCTATTCGGCTGATATCAACCGCTGATGACGTAGAGGATCGAAATAATACAAAAAAAACCACAGAAATAAATTTTTATTCTTTTGACAATTAAAATTTGTTATGGTACAGTTTCTAACATTCAGGACCGAAATAGACGGCGTACTTATCGACACATGTATTTAGATCGGTTATCCATGTCTAAGACATCATTCAGAATTTTCTTTTCGTCCACATTGCGATTATTTCTCCACACACTACAAGACTTGAAAGTATTTATCGCCCAAGAGTTCCTTTGTAAAGTATTTTTGGGTATAGTCCACTTAAAACTGTCGGTCAAATCCTTCTCTGAACATACCGAAAACCTTCAATCATGGTTCACTGTCAGAATTCTTGGAAAAGAATGTCTTTTGGTCCAAATTTTCTACAGGCTTTGGATAGATCCTCGTCGATATTTGCATTCACATCTATTCCATCGTCAATATGTTGGCTAAAAAGGATTGATTATTCGTCTGACTTCGTATTACTATCCATTTTGTTTTTGCTTTCAATTCAATAGTCCAAAATGGCGACGTATAAACAAAAACATGCACGTAATTGCACGTGATTACTTCGGTAATTTTCGCTATTTGGCGGAAACTATCGAGCAATTATCCAATCGTTGTTGCCTTTTAATGGAAGAGCCCATTAGTATTCATATCCCATACACATCATATCTGAGAATTTAAATGATTTCATATATTGATTGCGTTCAGGAACATGATCTATACATGTGTCAGGGCCCGAGGACCCCCCCCCCCCCCCAGCAAAAAAAAAAAAAAAAAAAAAAAAAAAAAAAAAAAAATCGGTTCAGTCACAGGTCTATGAAATGGTATTACTGCCAATATCAAATGCTCTGCTAAAATGTGTTACCGATTATTATATGTAAAAAGTACAATGTACAAAGTCCTAATACCGGTAATGATAAAGTCAAAGTACCTCGAATAAGTTGAATCTAAAACGTCAAAAGTACTGTGTCAAATGACAAATGTCTTATTGGAAAAATGCTGGGTTTTTTTGGTTTTTTTTTACTTGTCAACATTTTACATTTCTCTCATCCCATTTTGCATTTGCGCTCTGTCGCATCTCATAATTTGCATAGGCGTAGAAGCTCAAAGTAATTCAGGGGGGCATAAGAGAAAATTGCCCGAAATCAATACCGTTTTTTCGGGCATACATACAAATAAGAGAGCTTCGGGTATATTTTCGGGCATTCAGTGGACAAGAAAAAGACGAGAAAATACTTTTTCGGGCAGTGTGGATCTCATAGAAATAAGTTAGTTATATTTTTTCTCTAAACGTTAATAGAAAAAAAAAAGGTCGTCGAATTTTTCATTGCCCGAAAATAAATTTTTTGCCCCCCCCCCCCCCTGGCTCCTACGCCTATGATAATTTGTCCTTTGATATTGTGCAAATCTAGGATATCACTTGACTTATTAACATACACGGTTAATGCCAAAACTCACATCAAAATTTCAATTTGCAGCGCCTGCAGCAACACGCTTTGTTTTCGGGACTTTGTCTCTCAATTGTCAGCCCCCCCCCCCACTTCGGAAACCGCCCCGCGGCCTCTGTGTATAACATATATTATAATATATTATATATGTTTCCTTGTCGGTGTAAAAACTCTTGTCGGTTCTTGTCGGTGATCAGTAAAAACCACTCAAACAAACGTTTATAATTAACCTATGTATGCATTATCTATTACAGGTTGTGGATACAGGAAGTGCATTCTTTGGTAAAGGTCACAGTCGTATTGACATTTGTGTGAGAAGCGCACATGATTCTTACGATTCAACCATTAATGGACATTTAACATTAGTCTTTGATTAATTTTTTACATTATTATTTTTGTTCGGAGAGGTTTATCTTAAAGAATAAAAGCAAATGGTTTTACTCAGATCTTTAATGTTTTTCAATAGTTCACAGTTTGGCCAGAGAAAAGTAACAAGCAATTAATCTCAATCAATTCATGGTCTATTATCTCCAAGAATGTCCCTGGAAATAGCGACAACGTAATGGATGGGCGAATGGCTCAATTTCTGCACGTCCCAGTAATTAAATATTTGAAAATTGTTATATTTCTAAGGAACGTATGAAAATTTCAAAATTTTAAATCGGAAAAAAATGTGGCTCTAGAGGGACCACAAGCTAAAAAATGCGATTTTTCCAACAATCAGGGGCCATAATCCAAGAAGTTACGTTCGAATATGCGTGATTATCGAAAGGAATCAAGATCTTTGTGATATAAACATAAATTTAAAGTTTCGTCAAAATCGGATCAAAATTGTGACCTCTAGAGGGTCCATAACCTTGATATACCATATATTCCACTATTAGCTGTACGAGGGGCGGCCATTTTGTCCTGCAGTTTTGGTCCGATCTTCACGATTGGGGTGTAACTGTGATGTATTCAAACTGTTTTTAAATCGGATAAAAATTTGACCTCTTATAGAGAGGAACCACAAGCTAAAAACACAATTTTTCGTACAATCAAGGGCCATAATTCAGGAAGTTAAGATCCGATATGCACAAATATCCAAAGGAACCAAGATCTTTAGGTTATAGAGATGTATTTCAAGTTTCATTAAAATCGGATCAAAATTGTGACCTGTAGAGTGTCCACAAGCTAAAAACGTGATTTTTCGTACAACCAGGGGTCAAAATCCATGAAGTTTTGATCCGATACATGCCAATATTGAAAGGAACCAAGATCTTTTGGAGATAAACCTATATTTCAAGTTTTGTCAAAATCAGATAAGAATTGTGACCTGTAGGGTGTCCACAAACAAATTGTGGATGGACGGACAGGGGCGATGACAATATACGTCCACATGAAAATGTGGGCATATAAAAATGATGATATGCCAAGTAACCAATATGTTAATATTAAATCTTTGTTAGGTCAAGGACTATAGAAGTTATGTAACTGAGTGTTATGGTGCAAGGAAGTCAAGTAATGGTTGATTATATAATGGCTGATTATAGTAATATCAAATCAAGCAATCAATTACACTCCTTATCTTAAACAAATATAATGATGTGTGAATAATTCAAAGACACAAAAATCTGTTTCCTATAATGATGGTGTCTCAAGTAAGTGTATAAAATCTTATGTGTATAAAAGTGTATAACACCACAGATATAATAATCAAGTTGAGAACAGCACACTCTACATTTTAACAACTGTTCAAAAATCATACATAAAACAACATAATTAATGATATGAATATTTTATTTCAATTAATTATACAGTAGATATCCTGTTATAATTAGAAAGAAATATATATTTATATTGAAAGACAATATTTGTGCAAATAAACATACAATTCAATACACATTTTTAACATTTAAGAACTTTCTTTTCATTTTTCTCTAACAAAATCATGATGATTAAATATAGCAATATAGGCTGATTTATGTCTAATATTTCTTGTCACTAGATCAAGAGATTATGAGACAACCATTATATATCTTAAGCTGATCTTTCTGAAAAACAGGTAAATCTAATCCAATCAATTTTTTAATGATACAATTTACTGAACAACATCTAACATTTATAATTTAAGGCAATTCAAGGATTTTTTAAAACATTTCAACACCTCTTTAAATATGAAGAAAAGAATATATTCAGGCCATTTTACATTGTTTACAATAAATTGTAATATCTAAATTGAAACAGTTTAATCCCTGTTCACATATAAAATTAAAAGATGCTCTTTTGCAAACAAAAGTATAAGAATAACTTTTTATAGCAAGATTAATAAATCTATCTACAAGACTGATAACTAAAAAAAAACATTACAGATCATTTACTCAATGATGATACAATCAGAATATTTACAAAATAATTCTAACAATAACATTTGAATGTGTCTATGTTTTTATTGTAACATTGATATCATTTGTCTGTAATAATATATATTTATCTACACATACAAACACTATAATTGGGACTTAGAGCTTTCAATAAGAAAATAGATGTAACAACAAGCCAACAGTGAGGCTGATGTTCCCAGCCGAAATCCCAAAATAAATAGATGATACATATTAATTAATCGCACATTTATTTTTTTCAAAAGTATCAAGCAATCAAACTGATTATCAACTATACACTAAGTTTCATCACTCTCTATCAGAATCAAAGTTATCTTGTCCCAAAGCATTGACCAATGAAATTGCTTAGCTCTGCTTAGCTTTAGCTCGAAATGTTAAACATTGAACCCATCAAGACATTCACCTAATGAACACCTACATCAAGTTTAAACAATTAAAAGTTGAGTTGTTATGTTCCAAAGTCCTGACCAATCAAATTGCTTATCTCTCCTTAGCTTAAGCAGAAAATTTTCATCATCAAAACTTAGTCATGGTAATGATATAATGAATCTATACTCAGAGTTTCATCAAAGTTATTGTGCCCCAAAGCATCAACCAATCAGATTGCTTATCTCGCTTACCATAAGCAGACAATGTTTATCATCGAACTCCATCAAGGCATTCACCTAATGAACACCTACACCAAGTTTGAACATTCTACCTCAATTAGGAGAGTTGTTGTGTTCCGAAGTCTCGACCAATCAAATTGCTCATCGCTCTACTTACCCTGAGCAGAAAATGCTCATTATCGAACTTAGTCAGGGTATTGGTGTGATAAAACTATACATCAAGTGTCCTCACTCTCACTTAATCATAACAAAGTTATTGTGCCCCAAAACATCAACCAATCAGATTGCTTATCTCTGCTTACCAGAAGCAGGCAATGTTTATTATCGAACTCCATCGAGGCATTCACCTAATGAATGCCTACACCAAGTTTGAACATTCTATGTCAATCAAAAGGAGAGGTATTGTGTTCCAAAGTCGCGACCAATCAAATTGCTTATCGCTCGGCTTACACTGAGCAGAAAATGCTCATTATCGAACTTAGTCAAGGTATTGATGTGATTAAACTATACACCAAGTTTCCTCACTATCACTTAATTAGAACTAAAGTTATCGTGTCCCAAAGCAATAACCAATCAAATTACTTATCTCTGCTTACCTAAATTAGAATGAGGAGTTATTGTGCTCCAAAGTCTCGACCAATCAAATTGCTTTTCCCTCTGCTTAGCCTTCCCTGAGCAGAAAATGCTCATTATCGATGTTAGTCAAGGTATTGATGTAACAAAACTATACACCAAATTTAATCACCCTCACTTAGTTAGAACTAAAGTTATCGTGTCCCAAAGCATTAACCAATCAAATTGCTTACCTCTGCTTACCCTAAGCAGAAAATGCTCATTTTCGAACTCCGTCAAAGCATTGACCTGATAAACACCTACACCAAGTTTGAACTTTCTAGCTCAATTAGAAGGAGAGTTATTGTGTTCCAAAGTCTCGGCCAATCAAATTGCTTATCGCTCGGCTTACCCTGAGCAGAAAATGCTCATTATCGAATTTAGTCAAGGTATTGATGTCATGAAACTATACATCAAGTTTCATCAATCTCACTTAATTAACAAATATCGTTATTGTGTCCCAAAGCATCACCCTATCAAATTGCTTATCTGTACTTACCCTTAGCATAAAGTGCTCATCTTCGAACTCCATCAAGGCATTGAACGAATAAACACCTACACCACGTTTGAACATTCTAGATCAATAAGAAGGAGAGTTATTGTGTCTCAAAAATTGTGACGGACAGATGGGGGACAATTAATTTCATATTCCAAACAGCCCTACTGAATTATCAAAAAAAAAAACAAGAACTGGCCTAAAAGACCAAAGCATTATTCACTAGTGTCCGCTTTAAGTTTTGTAAACCTATGTAGGTCATAATGAATATGACTGACTTGTACAAGATTTTAAACATAAAGATCTTGGCTATTAATTTGATCCCAATGTTTATATGCAATCTTAATTTGAACACCTCTGAATTACCGGTAACCATATAGTGAAATCAGAAAATCACACAAAATTGAAAATTAATTTTTTTTACTAATGAGCAAAGATATCTGAATTTCTAATACATTGTAAATCTTTAAAAGAAAACAGATATGACAAAGCTGAACAGGCTAAATATAGATGTTTTTAAAAGAACTTTCCGGAGTGTAATTATATTCATTTTATTATCTGTTATTAATTATATATTTGGTTGGACCTTTATGAACTTTTAAAATTGCTTGTAACAGTTCAGGATCTACTTTTTGATTTTTAAAAATTAATTAAATCTGGTGACCATGGTTATTATAATCAATCACATGATTATAGATTACCAAAAAGATGGGTGAAAATTGTAACTATAGGGTGCAAGACAACAAAACATACCCCCACAACAGCTAAGTCGTCTGAGCTGTCAACAAGGGTAGTTGCATATTTTTTCTTTTGTTGGTAACGAAAACATTTACAACAAACTACAATCTGATTAAAAGTAACAACCCATTAAGTAATTATCAGAAATCAATAGAATTTGTTTGACTTCTCTGCTACATGGTAATGTTTAGTATACAAAACATAAAATGTGATGAATTTAGCTGTTCAAGTTATCAAAAATCGTTGAAAATCAATAGACTTTACAATGTCGTCTCATAACCTCAAACATTGTGTACAAATTTTAAAGTCAATCGGATGATAAATTTGGTCTTTAGAGCATCCAAAAATTTTCAAAATGTTCAAGGGCCATAACTCTGGTAGTAATTATCGGAAATTGTGGAAAATCAATAGACTTCTTTGTCTCATGACAACAGTATAGCAGTGCTAATTAATGTCCCTTAACAAAATTTTACAAGGTATGTTTATTAGTAATTGTATTATTATCAGTAGTGTCTAAAAGACTACCAAGCTTCAAAGGTATAGATGACACAATTAATGAAATCAGTTATCACACTGCACCGTGGCGCCATAGTATACAAA